AGAGAGAGAGAGAGAGAGAGAGAGAGAGAGAGAGAGAGAGAGAGAGACAGAGAGAGAGAGAGAGAGTGAGTATCACTTTGGGGGAGTTTTAGAGGCAGGCAGAGATGGTAAAAGTACTCACATCCTTTACTCAGGTAGAAGTACAGATACTCGTGTTTAAAAATACTAAAAGTAGAAGTACTGACTAAACTTCTTTACTCAAGTCAAAGTAAAGAGGCTTTGAAATGTACTTAAGTAAAAAGTACCCATAACTAGCAGCTGCTTTAAAGAGTACCTGACCTCCCTTTATATTAATAGAACAATAATGTCATTGTTAGCTAATGAATGTTTCCATGCTGAACAACGGCAACACGACAACGTTTCCATTGGTCCCTCTTCTTTAGAGAAGACCAGGAAATGATGGATACACGGATCGTGTTCAAATCAATAGGCACGCAATGACTCTAAAGAATAATGATCACGCATCAAACACACATTCAGACTAAAGGAACCAGCTGTTTGGAAAATGAGAGAAGTAGAAAGTACAGGTATTTGAGTTCAACATGTAAGAAGTAGAAAGTACAGGTATTTGAGTTCAACATGAGAGAAGTAGAAAGTACAGGTATTTGAGTTCAACATGTGAGAAGTAGAAAGTACAGGTATTTGTGTTCAACATGTAAGAAGTAGAAAGTACAGGTATTTGAGTTCAACATGTGAGAAGTAGAAAGTACAGGTATTTGAGTTCAACATGTAAGAAGTAGAAGTACAGGTATTTGAGTTCAACATGTGAGAAGTAGAAAGTACAGGTATTTGAGTTCAACATGTGAGAAGTAGAAAGTACAGGTATTTGAGTTCAACATGTGAGAAGTATAAAGTACAGGTATTTGTGTTCAACATGTAAGAAGTAGAAAGTACAGGTATTTGAGTTCAACATGTAAGAAGTAGAAAGTACAGGTATTTGAGTTCAACATGTGAGAAGTAGAAAGTACAGGTATTTGAGTTCAACATGTAAGAAGTAGAAAGTACGGCCCAATCAGAAACGTTGCTATCAGAAACAATGCCCGACTGTTTTGGACGTAATATGGTCGGTGTTTACATTAGCATCGCTAACACTCAGAGCTAACCTGTACTGGAGAGCATGTGTGTGAAGAAGCAGGAAGTAAAAAGGAACTCACCTTGTGGTATAACCGGCAAGAGAGAAAGCCTTTGAGCTCCAAACTGTTTCAGAGAGAATCCTTGATAATCCATGATATGGCGTTTCATCACGGCAGCATTTAGTTTAGACAGTAGCTGCCGGGTCCCGCATGAGCTCAGACCCCTCCTCTTTATTTTTTAAAGCTTTATCCCCAAATCAGCACGTTTGAAACAGGAAGTGAAATAGAGGGATATGAGGCATGGCTAGAATGATCTGGTATTTTGAGCAAAACACTTCATAGACATGTTTTTTATATATATTTGTATATATCTGAGACCTATGCTATTGTCTACAAATAGCATGATCGGTGACCTTTAATCTCTGTACCCTAAACTCTTCCTCATAATCTGTATTGGGAACATTAACAAATTCTTCTGAATATTTCTGCACACTTTGAAAGCGGCACGGCTCTTTCACATCAGATATAATGTAGATATTTCTTTTACAGTAAGTTGTATTTTATTGCATGTTTTTTGTTATGTATGCCACTTTATTGCCCGGTCATCTATTTGTGTATCCAACAGATGTAATAAGAATGAAATTGTAATAAAATAAACTCACCTCTGACATGGAGTTGATGTAATGATATCTGTTTTCCTCCTGCGACGTGTCGTCTCTCAGTGCTTTCACCTCCTGGGGAAAAACCCAAAACATCACAAAATATACAGAAAAACTAGATAAACTTATATAAATAGATTTCAATTGTTGGCTATATTTTATCTAGTGATTGATAACTGTACCTGGTCCAATTTCGATCTGTTGCTCTCCAGACCAGCCGTACAGCTTTCATATTGAGCCTTCTTCTCCTCATACTCCTGGCTTGATTCCTGTACAGATATGAATTAAAAAGGCATTTCAACAATGATTTATTTTTTAAATATATAAATAAATCCGGGACATTTCTCTCACATTTATTTCAATTGTTTTGCTATTTTTATTTATTTATAATGTTCCTAATACAGTTTTTTCTTTGAATGCTTGTTTTTAAATGTGTGGGTAAATATGTATGGGCAGGTGTGTTGTTATAATAATAATAATTATTATTCCTTACATTTATTATAGCGCTTTTCCAGATGCCCAAAGCGCTTTACAAAATACACACATAAATCGAGGTTAGAGCAGCGAGGAGACGGAGCCTTTGCTGTTGCAGCTCCAAAGTATGGAACGAATTGCCCCTCCAGGTTAGACTTGCTCCAACTCTGCCTGTTTTTAAATGTCCTTTAAAAACCCACTTCTTTCCCCTGGCATTTACAGACCAGGTGAAACTTGTACTTTTACATTTGGGTTTGTATCTTACTAGTGCTTTGTACTGTTTGTACGTCATGTAGGAGAGCGTTTCAGTCTGTGTCTTCTGATCTGGTTTCAGTGTCTCGTGTTTTACATTTGTTTCATGTCCTGTCTGTTTTTTATATATGTATGCTATGTTTTTACACAGTTGTTGATTTACAGCACTTTGTTCAACTCTGTTGTTTTTAAATGTGCTATAGAAATAAAGTGGATTGGATTGGTGTTCCCTAACGCCCCCTTGATCTGATGATCAACGCACAGCCCACTGCGCCACTCCACCATCTTCACACCTCGAAACCATCAAGGCGCTTTACAAGTACACATTACACACATATCATAGATGAATGGATGGGGAGGCGTGTGGTACAGCGGGGTTGGTGTTGGGATCAGGGGGTTCAAACCCCACTGCAGTCAGCATGTCGTTGTGTCCCTGAGACACTTCACCCCAAATTGCTCCTGTGGGGATTGTCCACAGTATTGAGTATGTAAGTCGCTTTGGATCAAATGCAACGGTCATGTACTGTGGACAATACCCACAGGAGCAAATTCGGGTGAAGTGTCTTGCCCAAGGACACATCGGCCTGACGCAGTAGGGGTGGGGGTGGGTTATGTGTAAATAGTTGTAGTATACATATTTATACAAGGTCTATGGAAATAATTGATTGATATAGAAGGTTATGTGTATATATGGTCGCAAGGAATAATATCTTAAAATCAGACGTTAATTAAAACATTTTCTCATTAGAGAAAAATGTAAAAAAAATAAATAAATATATTAGTGCTGTCAAAATTATCGCGTTAACGGCGGTGATTAATTTTTTGAATTAATTGCTTTAAAATATTTAACGCATTTAACGCATGTGCAGAATGGCCCGCCCCATACGTGCCACCAGTGGCAGCGCCAGGGTATGGCTGGGGTAGGCTACACCCATACCAAGAAATGGCTTAGCCCCACCATGAAAAATGATGTTAAAGTAAGCAAAATAAAGTCTGCCAACTCGCGGAGTAAATTGCACAGACAGCAGTTAGTAAGATTGATTTCAGTAGCCACGGTTTTTAAAACTTTTGTCACGTAGTGATCGTCTTCTCAATAGAACATCTTTCTTCTGGCCAATCAGAATCAAGATAACGGTGTGGTGTTGTTGCAGGAAGTCCCAACGGAGAATACTTTTGCTGTAGTACAGGTGTGCACATAACTGGTACGCAGGTTATGTGCGTAATCTCTCTGAAATGCGTATCGTCACTTGTGTCACAAAGCGCATTTGCATATTTTTGGACATAGTTCGAATGGTGATAAATCATGATTAATTCATTTTGAAGCTGTGATTAATCTGATTACAATTTTTAATCGTTTGACAGCCCAAAAATAAAGCTATCCAAACAGCGGAGCTGAGAGACACATGCGTACAGTATGAGATTTGGGACGGATACAGAGAGCAGATCTTCGTCCTCTCAGCTGCCCTCAGAGCAGTTTAACTCTCAGTCTATTTATGTCTTCCCGTCGCAGCTCTTCATTTTGCCGGGAGATGGAAGAGCGATTCCTGGAATACGTGTCGGAAAATCTAATCCTGCGCTTTAGCCCTGCGATGTGGAGGGGCTTTCCCATTGTGCATTTTATTTATGGACTATGTAAATGGTTCCCTAATGGAGCCTGTACACGGTCACACACACACACACACACACACACACACACACACACACACACACACACACACACACACACACACACACACACACACACACACACACACACACACACACACACACACACACACACACACACACACACACACACACACACACACACACACACACACACACACACACACACACACACACACACACACACACACACACACACACACCACACACACACACACACACACACACACACACACACACACACACACACACACACACACACACACACACACACACACACACACACACCACACACACACACACACACACACACACACACACACCTGACAGCACTGCCTCAGGGACCGCAGCTCTGTTATAATGGGAGCCAGAGCCGTCTTCTTATCCGCTATCATGGAGTTTAATTTCTTCACCTGTAAGAAGCAAGGACATAGCACACACTGAATAGTAAAGGACATTGAGAGTATTTAAATGCACAGTGTGTACTTTTCCACAGCTTTCAATCATAACAATGAAAAAAGAGTTGTGTGGCTGTGAGGCAGCGTGGGATCATAGCATTTAGTTTCTCCCAGATTGGTTCATTTTGTAAAGTAGGAAACTCAGGGTTTCTTCATTGTTCGGTATACAGTAGGAGGTTTTAACTTGTAGCTGAATTATCCTCAGAGGTCTCTTCCTCTCCCAAACAAGACAGACCCAGTGACAACATATAGAATAAATCAGTGTTTCTCTGATGAGGTTCGGCTGCTGTTAGCTTGCATTTGCTCATCTTGTTTCTCTGATAACTTGAGATACAGACGTCCCAGGAATAAAATACATCGTCCAGTTGAAATACAGAGTTAAAAAGCACTAAAATTTGGCCTAAAAATTGAATAAAGTCAGTTAATAACGTGCATGCTCAAAGGGGATACAACACCATAACAGGAGACCAGAGGATTACAATTATATATTTCTCAGAAACAACCAAACCACATTAAATATAACGTCTAGTCATTTTTAGACATTCTTAATAAGTCTATGACACGTTTTACACCTTTAAAGTCTGCAGAGAAAGCAGCAGGTGCTAGCTGTGACTAAGTGTATATGAGCTGATGAAGTTAAGCAGCATTATCATCCAGACAGATGCGACCTGACAGCTCTGATCACGTCCTCATCATCAGAGAGTGAAGTGTTACCATCTCTGACATGTCGTCCAGCGTTCGTCCCTTCTTCTCGTCCAGCTCGCTCTTGATGGCCGACACTCGCTCCAGCTCCTCCTGAGTGTCGCTGTAGCCCGAGATGCCCTTCTCCGCCTCCATAGCTTGCTTTAAAGACAACAGAAAACACGTGGGAACTCAAGAGGGAATATGCAGTACATTTAGAAGTGAAATCAAATGGCTGCACACGCTACACCTAAGATACTTCACAGCTTGAAGGCATTCCTTTTTCTATGAGATACCAGAATAAAACTCGTTGAAAACAGATGCAGAGCTAGGGCTGGAACTAACGATTATTCCTATTATTGATTCATCTGTAGACTGATTGTTGGGTCTATAAAATGTCAGAAAATAATAAAAAGTATCCATCGTTTTTACTCAAAGTCCAAGGAGATGACTTTAAATGTCTTGTTTTGTGAGTCAAACCCCAAATATATTCACTTTAATCTGACATACATTTAAATAAGTAGGATATTTCCACTAAAAACTGTATGTTCTACAATTTTTGCATTCAAAATAATAATGTATTATCAAAAATATTAGGCAATTATTAAGCTTTCTATCAGTTTATCTTTGCAGCTCCATTCAAAACACAGTTTTTTGAGATATTTTCGATTTTTGGGATGTCAGGAAAAACACTGACAGCACTTTTCAGTTTTTGTGCCAGAGCTACCCGATAATAAACAAAAGATGCATGAAGAACATTCAGCTGAGAAATGAAGCTCTCCCAGCAGCTCGACATGTGAGCAGAGGGAAAAACTCAAAAGCAATTCAACAAATCCCGTGAGGGCAGGAGACAAAAGGGATGAGCGTCCGTCAGGAATAGACGCTCGGCCTGCATCAGGCTGCTGTCTGTCAACATGTCAGGTGCTGCGACCGCAACCAGGCGTCAAGCCGTTTCCAGGAACTCTCCGGTGTTAAAAACAAACCGCAGGAACCAGGAGATCAAGAGAGAACGGCACGTTTGGAGGATGAGAGCGGAGAGAGGCTGGGGATACTGGGTAAAGAGACCATAGCCGCTTTCACAAGTACTTTGCCGTACTTAGTTCCCATGGAACTAATGCGGCTTTCACACCAGCGCTTTTCCCTTTCTAGCTCCGAGCGGGAGCTTTTCTGGTTCAGCTCCGGTTTCCCTTTTCTGCTCCCGCTCTGTTCACACCGCCCAGAGCCCGACTGGTGCTGCCGCTGCTGCGTCATGACGTCACCGTCAACGGCGTTCACAACAACGGGGAACTGCGTCGGGTCGATGATCGTGTTGCTTTTAATCACACGAAGCCAGAATAAATTGAATAACGACTTCTCCAACCTTATGCTTTTCTCCAGAGTGCCGTGGTTCATTGTTTATTAATGTGTTTCTGCAGCATTTACCGACCGCTGCAGTGTTGGCTGCTCTTCCATGGGAGTTTATTCTCCCGTTAGCTCCCGGTTAGCTCACACTGCCGCTCTAAAGTATTCACTGTCCGACTCACACAAGCAGCTGATACATATTGTTAGAAATTAAAATCAATGTTTTGATGGCATAAAGTACCTTAAATGTACCTTCAGTTTAAATGCTGTTTTATACTGAAAAACCAGAAAATTATTGTGCACAACCAGTTAAGCTTTTATTCTGAAAATCCGTCATCTCCGGTTAGCATGTGGCTAGTTTACCATTTCTTATAGAGGTTAATTTAGTAGCGAAATGACATGGAGTGATGCACACCGAAACCTACTGATTTTAACACTGCAACTATAGAAGTATTATTATTGCTGAATATTAAATGAAGGTATAGTTTCTTTGAATAAAGTTATTGTTTACAGACGTGGGTAAGATGTGACAACATCCGGAATGACCAGAAACCAAACCAGCCGTGAAGTATTTTCTAGAATATTAACTACAACGTTTAGAATGTGTTAAAGGAAAAGTGATGAAAGACAATATGAGGAGAAGAGTCGTGTTTAAGTATATATTGAATGTACAAAGCCTGAATCCTCTGTTTAACGTAACAACGGACATTAAGATGTGGAGGGCCGACCCGCAGGGAGGAGCCTACAGAAGCTATATAAGAGCAGCACCTGAGCGGTTCGGCCTCTTTTCTCTGCTAGCGAGGGCCAGAGACAGCTGCTTTTCTGTCGGACAATATCCTGTTTGTGACTGTACCGCGCCTTTTATGAATTAAAGTACCAATTTGAAAACATCTCAGAGACTCCATTTAGTCTCCTTTTTAAGCTTCTCTTTCCTGGACGCGAGAATAACCATCACAGTTAACAATATCCCCAGTTCCCCTTAGCCTAAGTGAATGTGTGTCAGTCTGAATTGACGCTGTTTGGTATCACAACGCTGTTATGAAAGTTTCTCTGGTATAAAATGGGTGATGTTAGCATAGCAACCGAAGCTGACTACTTGCTATTGCTATCCTATTGTGGCATAAACCGTTTTCTACAGGCACATTTTACCGGCGTATTTTTATTATGATTCTACTTGTGATAGTCGGACACGACAACCTGTGCAGCCCATGTATTGATTCCATCCGATAGCTGCTATAATACCAAACAAAACGTCTGCCTCTCTCCACAATGATCAATAACAGTGAACGGATGGTCAAAGTAAGGTACAAATAAACAGAATCACACGAAGCCTGGTTAGTGTTGCCTGACTTTATAAGGTGTGTTTATAAGCACTACTGCTTGTAGGCAGGCATGACAGTCGACCCATGTTCAGGGGAGGAGGGTTTAGTTTCCTGCACGCCTCGACGTAAGAGAGACGTAAGCGACGCCACCTCTTAGCTCCGAAGCTCTTGCCTCCAGACCGACAATTTTTTGGAGCTGGAAGTGAACCGGATTCCGGAGCTAAGAGCCGGCGCCGCTGCGGTGTGAACAGGAAAACCCGGCGCTTTTCAGGCTCCAGCTCCGAGCCGGAGCTGAAAAAGCGCTGGTGTGCAAGGGGCATAAGAGCCGATCGCGTTCACACCGGAATAAGTCCCTGAGGGAGGATTACGCAAATGAAGCCGCTGACGTCACTTCTTCTTCTTCTGCTTTGGGTTTACTGGCAGGCCGCAAACAACTTCACGGCGTATACTGCCACCCGACACCTCCTCATCACTGGCACCTCCTCATCTCCACCGCTCCCATGTTTTCTTTTGTGTTGCCATAAGTTATTCTCTCTCCGTTGGTGCGCGGGGCTAATGCTAATAATGCTAATGCCAGCAAATACAATGGTGGCTTTACAAAACTTTTCAGGGTTTTACGGGGCGTGGTTTGCAATTTGCCCAGCCAATCAAAGGAAAGTACCTGCTCTCTAGCAGGCACTAAAAAGGGGGGAAAAGTTCTCAGGAACTAAGTTCTCTTTTTGGTGTGAACGCAAAATCCCAGGACCTATCGGAACTAAACGGGAAAAGTACGGGGAAAAGTACTCCGGTGTGAAAGCGCCTATTGGGGGTGATATGGAGCATAGAGGGCAGTGAGCGGGATTTCTTTAGTCCAAATCCAACGCTAGCCAAGAGCTCGTCCTGTACATTTCAGACTTGATCTGACCATTAAAGTATTATCGTATCGTATCGATGAACCTTTTTCACGTTTTAAAAACCGGGGGTAAAACTAATTATGAAAACCAAAAGTGAGCTCTTACTGGCTGCTCGAACACACACAGAGCAAAACCCAATATAATTCTCCCATTTCATTTTGGTGCTGTATGGAGAAGATCCAGGAAGAGTTTTAAATTATGATTGGTTTCATTATCGATTTTTTTTCAGTTTGGGTGTTAAGTCTAATATATGTCAAACTTAATGAAAAGTGTCCGCTCCAGTTTCTTGAAGTCCAAGGTCAGGTCTCTAAATGTTTTGTTCTTGGCGTACAAAACAAAAAAATACTCAGTTTAATACAATATAAGACAGAGAAAAACAGGAACTCTCCATATTTCTTGGACATTTTTGCATTTGAAATTACTCAGAGAGGTTGTTATTATTTTTCTGACTTTTTATTCTTAGCCCGTTGGGAATATGTCAAAGATGGAGAGATATGAATGTGAAACTGATACTAAAACCCAAGATGGCTGCTACTTCCTGTCAGAAAGCCTAGATGTATAGCAACTTTCTGAATAGTGCACACTGGATAACATAATGAAAGGTTAATGTGGCGTTGAAATGTAAATCTGCAACATTTAGGAAAGTTTACTTGACCTGTCGTTTTTTACGAGGAACACTTTTGTTCATGACTCTGTAGGATGCTAAAGGTTTACGTAAACGCCTAACATATGGTTAGAGGTATATTTTAATGAGCCTACATGTGACATAGGAAGTGGAGCAACATGTTAAAGGTGTTCTAGTTGTTGCATATCAGATGTAAGACGTAGGAGTTACCAGTTTGTGCTGCACGGTCTCGTGTCTCTGCTTCAGGATCTCCTCGGTCCTCTGCAGGACTCCGTACTCTGCCCTCAGCTCAGAGACCTCCTGACGCTTCTTCTTGTGCATCGCTGACTTGCCACGAAGCTTCCCCACCAAACGCTTCAGCTGAGAGAACAAAGAAACAGACTCAATGTTAACTTCAAATCAAAAGAGCTGACTAAATGATATCCAGGCAGCACGTGGAACTTGAAAAAGCAGGGAAATGCAATAATGTATATAAAATAATCCAATTTTCATTTTCACATCCTGGTTTAGGCGGACTTTGAACACATTTGAAATGAAACTGAAAACTATTGCAATTCATCGATGGAAACTCTAGCTGTTGAGCTACTGTACATGTGATGCTCGTCAGGTAGTGTAGAGTGTACAGTACCAATGATAAATGGACTGCATTTATTTAGCGCTTTCTCCAGTCTTTACGACCCTCCAAAACTCTTTATATTTACAAGTCAGCTTTCACCCGTTCACAACCATCCATAGAGGAAGGGGCTTCCCTGCACAGTGCCACCTGCTCATGGAAGATAACATTCAGACATGGTTGTTCATGCCATCAGTTCAACTTGGGGTTAAGTCTCTTGCCCAAAGATACATCGACTAGTTGACTGCAGGGGCTGGGATCGAACCCACAACCTTCCTATTGATGTACAACCCAAATACCTCACAGCCACAGGAACACCAAAACAGTACATTTGCGGGATCTAAATCCCCAAAAAACAGGCTGAAGGACAAAGCACTGCAGAGTTACGGGAGTGAATCAGAACCAAAAAGAAACAGGTGTATTGCCAAGTAGGTTGACACATACAGGGGATTTGCCGTTGGTGTAAGGGAGTCCTTTGATTCATTCTTATTAAGAAATATAGATTACAGCAGCTTTATATATATCAGTATTAAATCAGTAGTATATATCAATGTTAGAAACCGATGTTGGTGTGCCTGCTAGCACCAGGACCATGTGGAAGCTTGAATAAGAGGCATGAGGAGAGTTGATATCTGACAGCTTGGTGTCCGGCACAGCTGAGCGCTCTGAAAGGCCACCGGAGAAGACAATGGGCTGACGGAGGGATTAGAGGACATGCACTGACCTGAAACCGTCACTGGATCCTTTCAGACTCACAGCCAGATATGTGCGGCAAAACAGCTTCATCTGGCAGGAGAGAGATGCAGTCACTCCCCCCCCCCCCACAGTCAAACTCCTCCACAATGAAGAGCGGCTATAAATGAACATGCACACGAGAGAACAGCCCCAGAAATCACAGAATGTGCTCCATGTCCTGTGGGGATCCGTGAAGCTCTGTGTGTGCGTGTGTGTGTGTGTGTGTGTGTGTGTGTGTGTGTGTGTGTGTGTGTGTGTGTGTGTGTGTGTGTGAACATGTATTATTTGTGTATTTCGGGACATCAAGGGCAGACATGGCTGAGAGGGGGAATTAGCACAGAAGAGTAAAACAGTGTTCCCGACAGTGTCCTAAAAACAACTGCTGGTAAACTGCCACTTGTTTCAGACACAATTCTCTCTCTCTCTCTCTCTCACACACACACACACACACACACACACACACACACACACACACACACACACACACACACACACACACACACACACACACACACACACACACACACACACACACACACACACACACACACACACACACACACACACACACACACACACACACACACACACACACACACACACACACACACACACACACACACACACGCACACACACACACACACACACACACACACACACACACACACACACACAGGCTTATATGTAGAAAACAGGTATCACTACAGAGAGTCCTTTGCATCCAAAACAAACAGACTCAAAGACAGTTTTTTCCCAAGAGCCATCATTGCTCTTAACACCTGACATGTGAATCAATCTCTGTACATATACATATATATCATTACTATTATTATTATTATAAATACACACTATTATTATTATTATTATTATTATTTATTACAGATTTAATTTTTATACTCCTGGAAATAATTACTGCACTTTATTCTTTTTCCTTTTTGCATGTTAAGCGCATCATTTATGCCATTGGGATTGTTTCCTATGTAACCAACTGTACTGGAGTACATGCACAATTCACAATGTTTCAAACTCTGGAGTAAAAAGACAGAAATGTCAGTGAACTCAGTGATCATCAACTTTATACGTGTCACTCAAATCTCTTGGCGATACGATATTACATCGTGAATTGGAAGAATAAAGTAAAATGGAAATATTCAAGCAAGTTATTATTAGCATTATCGTTACATATATTAAATATTTAAAGATGTTATACTCAGAATAATTTGCATACTTTGACTTTGAAATCTCTATGATAATGTGAAGCAACTGTAAAAAAATACATTAAAACACATATATGATGTGTTTTGACTAGGGATGTAACGATATATCGAATATCGCGGTAAATAAATGTCTCAATACCGTCGTGAGACTGACAAAATCTACCGCAATTTTTTTAACTTTATTTAACCAGATGGTCCCATTGAGATCATCGATCTCTTTTTCAAGTGAGGCCTGTCCAACATGGCAGCAAGTAGGTTACAACACGAACATAAAACAACAGATAACACAAAAGGACCTCGTATTTGCAGGGCCACATGTACACACCTAGAGACATTGACAAGTACCAACAGTATATTTATATCTCTGTCAATAAGCCTCACCTTCTTGGCAACAACTGTATTGTTGTTGAAGTGGTGGACAGACAATGCACAGTTTGACCCACTGCTGTCACCCATGGCCAAAGCATATCTCTCTGTCCCAGCAACATCAGTACCAAGCAAGAGAGTTGTTTCCACAGCAGGGGATTTTATAAACGCCCAAACATCCCAGCTTATACCTGGAAATGTGGACATGCTCATATCCCTAGAAGATAACCTTGATGATGCTGAGTGAGAGAGTTAGAGTTGAGTTACTTGAAAAACTAAAGTGAAGCTTGATTTATTTTATTGCAGGGTCTGATTATTATATTGTTGACACTTTAAAATACTACTATCCTACTAAAATGCTGTACAAATCAGATTTATTATTTAATTAAAAAAAAAAAATCAAGTAAAAAAATCAATAAAAAATTCACATTTGTTTCCTTTATTTTTCAATATCGCGATAAATATCGTACCGTGAGTTTTTGGTATCGTTACATCCCTAGTTTTGACTGTAGCTGAAAGTATATTTCTCAGGACTCTCAGGATGGTGCGTTTCTGCTTCCAGGACGTTTTTCAGGAAAATTAAATACCGTACTGTACAGAAGCCGCTCTATTCCTACAGTATTATATCGCAGAGCAGGCACGCCGAGATCAGTGATGGTGTTTTAAATGCTTTCAGACTAAATTTAACCGTGCGATGAGGCTGATAAAGTGCTCTCCATGGCTCCCAGAGGAGATGCAGTTGGTGGCTGGCATGTGATGACACAGCACAATGGAAAATACCTCAGATAAAGTGATCATCTCCACCGGCTGATAAGCTGCAGCCGACGGAACATTTTCCATCAAGGAGCCCTCTTTGTCTCTCCAAACAGCTCCCGCTCAGACTTACCATCACATTTATAGCCTCCAATTAATTAATAGATATTATTATAATTGATTCAGATTTAAATCAACGGTGGCTGAAAGAAAGGGGAACTTCTGTCTTCTGTCAGCACTAAAATGCACTTTTTCTAAAACATCTTACAATTTATTAATATAGAAAAGATGTTACTACTTCTCCTACACTAGAGTAAACATGTTGGAAGTGTGTTTTCCACTCATATTTAACTTCCTTTATGTGCAGAATGTGTGGTTTTGTTTTGTTTCTGCTGCAAAATCCTCCCAACAGAATCTCTGGGAAATAAGGGAGAACAATTAATAGTGGTGATCCATTTTCTAAGTCTGATCAAAATGAAGGAGATGTTTTGTTATAAAACATCTTTGATTGAGTCTGTAATCACCTAACAATAGTGATGTGTATGTTCTAGTTAAAAGCACCCTTTTTAATCTACATATGGAGGGGGTCCTCTTCCATGGAGTGTGCCATGTTTTCCAGTGTTGAACTCTGGCTTTAGAGAGGGCCTTTCACCTATGTTCTGAATGGCATGGGTATTCAGTAAGATGCAATCTGCTACCTGACCACTAGGTGCCACTACATCCTAAACACTGCTACTTTAAGAACAGGTAAACACCAAGCTCCCAGGAAGTGCGCCGGACTCTGTGGAAAATATTCGTTGTGGCCAAAAGGCGGTACTACACTTTCGTATCAGTTGCTGGGCCCTAACTTTGGGAAAGAGACGTCTGTAAATCGTTGGATTTTTTTTTTTAAACTAAATAAACTACCCAGTATGAACATCTGTATAGCCCTTATTAAAAACATTCGGTCCTCAAGTTGTAACAATGTGCTAATAACGTTATTCTGAGAGTTATTTTCCTCGGCATTATTTCCACGGGACCGCGCTGCCCGGCACGTTCATGTGACGTGTTCAGTACTACATGAGTTTTACCTTTACCCATAAAAACGGATTATATGAATACTTTCGTGACGTTTCGCTCTCTCAAAAGTTGGGCCATTTTGTCTTCATGCGCCAATGAGCAACTCTCATAGGAAAGAACGAGATCCCGCCTCCCACGCTGTATCCAGTTATATACATCCATGGTAAAAACACAGCTGAGGTCTTTACCAGAACAATCTTTTTAGGTCCCTGTGAAAAAGGGAAAGAAAATGTTTTGCGAGGTTAAATATAATTCTGCCGTGAGTTATTATATTTAAGTTTATTTTGTTTTGATTTATTTGGAACCTTTATTAATGCATGTTTCTGTTTCAGTGAGAGGTGTGCTTTGCTCAGGTGAAGGGGGCGGGGCTAAGGCTTTAAGTTGGAGGTGCGGTGTGTGACGGGAGAGCAGCAGGCAGCAGCAATACCGTCATTGACACGCAGACGCAACCTTATACTTAGTCAAATACAGATTATTAGGATCTGCTGTTTAAGTTTATGTTAAATATTGTTTTCGTATTTTGTTTTGCTGGAAATAAACGTTGAAAAGCAACTGAAACGTCCAGTGGATTGTGTACTGCGAGTCTGACACTGCTTCCGAGGCCCAAGCTCTACAT